ATTGATTGATTGATTGATTGATTGATTGATTGATTGATTGATTGATTGATTGATTCAACTCTAGGTTATAAGAAATATATTCTCAATTGAATATATTTACAATTCTCTTACAGGAGAGCAGAATATCAAAATATTTGTTTCCCAAAATGTCTCTCAAAGATATACAGATCGTGACTCAAGATAGACAACTCAGTCTCCCCAAAAATCTTAAAATGGGAGACAAACGTATATTTTGTCACGTCTGGGGGAATGTCTGGTGTGTCGTCATGTCTTGATTACCTATTCCCCACTTGATTCCCTCATGTGTTTAAATAGTCCTTGTTTCCCCTGTCCTGTGCCAGTGTGTTTTTGTCTTTCTGCTTTCGTGTCCTTGGTCCCACGTCATGTAAGATTTAGATTTTTGCACCTTTGCCACAGTCTTGCTTTTTTGTGCCATAGCCATGTTTTTGTCATAGCCTTACTTTGCCACTGTCTTGTTAATCTTGTTTTGATACTTTGCCATAGCCTTGTTTACTCTTACTTTGATACTTTGTTCATAGTCTGGTTAATCTTGATTTGATACTTTGTTCATAGTTTTGTCACAGCCTTGTTTTGAACCATGTCTTCCATCCACTCCTTTTGAGTGGGGACAAAGGATGGTCAAAATTGATCTAACACACATGGCACTGATGTCATCAGGCATGCTTATGTTTTTCGTGGTTGGTGGGTTAGGGTTAGAGTGGATCACCCCAACTGGCTTTCTGGGGTAGCCAAGTCCTCCCAGGTATCAAGTGGGCCCTTTGCTGGGAGCTTGGACATTCATGGCCCTAAGTCCTGCACCTGACTCATGCTCGGTTGGCCAGGGCCTGGTGGAACTGATAGCTTGTGACCCCTGGTTCCTGGAGGGCCTAGACTCCGTGGGTGCGACGGCTTTGTCCCAGTTCTCCCTTTACCGTTCTCTGGGTAGATGTGTGGTGTCCCTGTGCTGTCTTCTGTGCTCTATGGGGCTCCTGATGTCCTGGATTTCTCTTGGCCCTCTGGACCCATCATTGAGCACAATTCAAGTAAGACACACACCACATTTTCTGCATGTTCACATGCAAACACATACCTTTGTGCTGACCTGAAGTTTCCTTGTTGTGCATTAATATCGACTTGATATGTTGGGATTTTATTCCTTGATGCCATCTGTTTCTTCATTTTAATTAAACTCTAACAAATGTTTCATCAATTGTAGGAGGGACCTGGACTTTAAAGGGGAATACATATTCCTGGAATATCTGGCACAATGCATGTTCACTTGTACTAAATTAATGTTTTATTGTGCACTGCCCCTGTCTTGAAAAAATACAATTACACATTACAAGTATTGTCATACTTTAATAACATCCATTCATTTTTTTCATATTCATATTCCTTTAATGTCATAAAGATGTGTCCATATGCTACTGTGTTTTTTAAGCTGCATACTTTATATGTCTCTCTCTTTATATGCCTTTGTTAGAATGTATCTTTCCAGCTAATTTGGAAAAATAACATATTTTGAGACTCATCTGATATCACATGGCTCGCATCTTACATTTCTGTTTGGGAGTAAGCAGTATAGTTGTGGGATGCCTGATCCTGTGACACTTTGGCTATAATGTTTATTGTCATTGTGGCGGGCTCGTGGTGCATTGGCTGCAGGGGAGAGGTGAGGAGACATGTCAGCTGTATATATTAAACAAGATGTAAGTTTAAGATGTTGCTTGATTTTCAGAAAAATCAAAACATCAAAGGCACAACAAAAAACTTACTTGCTTTTTTTGTCCATTCAATTAAGTTTATTTTTCCACAGTTGGTTTTACAGTGGAGTTAGCAGGAGTCATGCAATAAAGATTTTAATAGCAATACTAATAGTAAAGATATTCTACATCACAGATCACATACACAGAAGAACACAAACAACAGGCATTTGTCCCCCTGCATTTTACACCAAAGTTCAAACCTGAACATACAAAAGGTCAGTCTTGTTTTTTTCCATACACATTGCATGTTTACCACACAGAAAAGGAGTATAGTTGACAATAGCTTGGAGGGATAATAGTTGCGCAAGGCACAAAGAATATTGTCACCCACACACACGCTTGTCTTGACACATCTCAAAAGCCCAGCGTCACTGCTAATCATCATTTCTGTAGTTGTCTAGAAAATAAAGAAGAGAAAGAAATTCATGGCACAATAGCCTTGAATAGACATACATCAGTATCAAAGAAAAACATAGTCAAATCTTTGGGTTAACAATTTTGTTGAACTTTTACCAGTCTCTAATGCATAGTTAAAATATAATTTTCTTTTAACTTTTGTTTTGGAAATTGTTTCATGCTGTGATAAGCTCCTGCAAGCAAAGATGAATTACATCTCACACTGCGTATGTTCATGTAGAAATTTAACTGATCCGTGTCACTTTCAAAAACACGTAGTATTTAGCTCTATCAGAAGCTAAAGACAAGTAACGTTTGCCTAATGAAAATACGTTTCTTTTCGAAGCAGCATATGAATTAGAATATTAGCTGAAACTTTAATTCATCACATGGATGGCTTAAATCTCATTGACCATTCTTGACCACTTCATGGGTAAATCTAATAATTAATTCTGGCCTTCATCTACTTGTAAAGTGACTTTACCATGATCACATTTCACTTTATTGTGAAATATAACTTGTGTATCCCCTAAACTAATCAAATCTAAATGAATATAAACCATGATCAAAACTTAATTCCACTAAGATGGAAGCACCTTCGACGTTTAGATCTACATAAATGTAATGCCCAAAAGCATTTACATTACAGGTTTACAGCAAGTCTTAATATTTGTAGTGACTGTTAACACTAACACTAACTTAATTTCTTCATAAGTTATCGTTTCTAACCAGTGAATGTGGGTTCTATTGTTAACAGCATTAACAGCTTTTGAGTTTGAGTCTTAGTGTTTGTGGTTTTGTGTTGCCATGAGTTAATATTGTCTCTAATGCTACAAATACCACATTCCGCATGTTGTAAGGTGAGATGTTTTTCAAGATCCCAGAGTTTTGCAATCACATTGACTTTTATCATGTAAGTACTGATAAAATCTTCATAAAGAGAACAAAAGTCTTTTGTAAAGTAACATGCTTCTTGTGCTGCAGCAAAGCAGTATATAGATGAATTAATGTAGAGTTCAGTAACTTGTATGTAGTAGATTGTAAGAACAGTTAAAGAAGCCATGCGAAATTGCCAAATATGACATGTGGTGGAATATGGTGGAATCAAACTGACTCCTATAATCTTACATACATGTATAAGGATTATGGATAAAGACATGACGAAGGAAAGATTTTCAAAAATAATGTTAGCTATTCCTGAGCTCTTCTTTGGCTCTCATGTTCAATGGTACCTGAATGCCACTCTAATTTCGAAAGCAGATGTCCAAAGCAACAAAATGACTCAACTGATACAAATACAATTATCAAAAATCTGTTTTTCATTGAAGGTTGGTGTGCTTTGTATCGTGTTTGTCTTGAGAGGCCAGTAATGACCTAGTTTCACAAACTATGGTTATGTCAAGTAGGTTTTCTTCTCAAAGTCATAATTCCTGGTTTTGTGTTGCACATGATGCCACAACATTCTATCCAAAACGTTTATTCTTTTACCAGAGTTGTATCTTTGCACACCACTCTAAAATTTCCATGCATCAACATTAAACCTACAATTGAAAAGTGCCTTCATTGGGGATTATGAAGTGTATATAATCAGTAAAATCCAGCAACCTCTAGGCTGGCAAAATACCTTGGTCTATCATTTACATATCTTTAAAACTGGAAAGAAATATAATTTTTAGATAGTATGTAATACACTTATTCAAATGTTATTTTGTGAGATTACATTAAAGCAGTTTGTTGCTGAGTGCATTCAAGTATTTTTACACACAACCCTATTTTTACCGATATCAAAAGCTTATCCAACTACCAGGCGTGGACTATCTGTCCAATTACACCAACACTTTATTAGGTGCACCTTGCTGTAAGGTTGTAGGTTGGACCCCCTTTTACCTTCAGAACTGTCTTAATTGTTTTGTGGCAAACATTCAACAAGGTGTCCGCACATATTGACATGCCATTATCACAATTTATCGGCAGTGCATCCATTATACGAAACTCTTGTTCCACCACATACCAAAGGTGCTCTATTGGAGAAAGATGTGGTGATTGTGGAGGCCACAGCAGCAGTGTTGGAGATGATGTGCGCTTTGTGAAATGGTGCAAATTGCTATCATAAGATGCGTAAACTGTGGTCATAAAGGAATGGACATGGTCTGCAACAATACTCAGGTGTGTTGAGGCATTTAAACAATGCTCAGTTGGTAGTATAGCACCCAAAGTATGACAAGATAACTTTCCCTTCACCATTACAACACTACCAGCCTGAACCATTAAAACAAGGAAGGATGGATCCATGCTTTGATGTTGATTACAAAAAAATCTGCGATACCATCGGAATGCTGCTGCTGAAATCAAGACTATTCAGACCAAGTAATGTTTCACAATTTTCTATTGTCCAATTTTGGTAAGCTTTTGTGAACTAAAGTCTTAGTTTTCTGTTCTTAACTGACAGGAGTTGCACCTGAAATCATCATCTGCAGCTGTAGCACATCTTCTTAAAGATTCAACATCTTGTGAATTCAGAGATGATGTTCTGCATTCCTTGGTTGCAACAAAGGGTTATTTTAGTTACTGTTTCTATAATCTCGAACCAGTCTGTCCATTTTCCTCTAACTTCTCACATCAACACAGCATTTTTGTCCATTAACTGCAACTCACTTGAAATTTTCCCTTTTTATGAACTTCTTTATAAACCCTGGAGTGTATCTGAATAAATAGTCAGACCAGTCATTCTGGCATCATAAACAATGTGTCATGATTGTTGGTGGCAACTTTAATTTTGTTGAGTAAATAAAAAGTACCTCCTGCTACTTCCTACTACGAACGAATTATGCCATCTCTCAGATATATCTGATGTGAGTTTGATATTTGCATTTATTTTTGTTAATTGTGTCTGATAAAGAAGGTCTGACCCTTTTCACTGCAGCTCACTTCTTAAGATAGTAAAATACATTAAATCATAATGAAGTTGAGCTTCCTAAAAATTATTAGCAATCCTTATCTTATAAGGACACATTGTTTAAATTTAGAAATACTCCACACTCATCAGTAACATATTTTGAATAAGTTGCTTGATATAATCTGTACTTAATTGTGTCAGTCAGAAATGCAGTGGAAATGTATAAATCATTTAAAAAATGTCTAGAGGATAAACTTTAACTATTATTATTACTTTCATGTCTGGAATGACAGACGTGCCAGCAAAAAAAGATGAGGAAAAAGAGGATATGATGAATTAAAAGTTCTGAAAAGAAAATATACGTAAAAACAAGAAAAATCTGTGTGGAAATATTTAAGTAATCCAATTTCTATTGTATATTCTATTCCTTTTTTTTAACACATTGCTTCATATCTGTTCTTTTGCTTCACGGATGTTTTTATTTTTTGTCACGATACCTTCTACCTTCATCATTTTTCCAAGCAAAATCCTCCTTTTGTATTGCAATATCATCTATCCAATTCTTTAAGAAAATATTCTGGCGTATTGCAGCGTAACAGTCATTTATTCCTCAGTACAAAGAATAAGATCAAAGCTCTATGAATTCTCAATTAAGTCCAGTTATGCCTAACAATACTTATACCTGTCGAATAAAGCAATACAATCCTTGTAGTCCAACTGAAACAGTTAGAATTTAGACCAAAAATGGTGAATCCTTCGGTTTATAATTCTTAGAATCAAGTGGTTTATCTATGTTCTCCTCAACCCTCAACCTAAAGGGGGAAAAAAACAACCTAAACCAAACTCTTACCGCTTAAAGTTTAACTTTGAAAAATCTGTTGCTCTGAAATTCACACAATTTCTAAATGTGAATTATGAATCAGTTTGAGGTTCATCTTCATATGACTACTATAGTAGTCAGTACTAATTAACAGATCACTATTTGAAACATTAAAAAGTAAAATTAGGTATTCTAAAAATTACTCCTGTTATCTTTGTTTGTGGGCGGCACACACAGCAAGAGGGTTCTGGGTTTGAGTCCCAGGAGCCAGGACATTTTCTGTGTGGAAATTACATGGGTTATCTCTGGGTTCTCTGGCTTCCTCCCAATGTTCAAAAACCTGCACGTTAGGTTGATTGGACATTCCAAACTGCCCTTAGGAGAGAGTGTGAGTGTGAGTGTGCGTGGTTGTTCGTCCTATGTGTCTTTATGTGGCCCTGCGATGGACTGGCGGTCCTTCCAGGGTGTACCCCGCCTCTCGCCCATTGACCACTGGGATAGGCTCCAGTTCTCCCCCCAACCCCATTAGGGAATAAGAGGTTACGATAATGGATGGACGGATCTTTGTTAGCATAATCATTGTTAGTAGTAGTAGTTAAAACAATACTTTAAATACTAATACTACTCCTAATAATTATCAAAAAATCACATTCATTAAGCTTTAGAAATTTTCTTTAGTTAGATGAGGGAAGTCAGAAATTATATTTCCAGAAGCAAGGGTGGGTACAAAGAGAAATTAAGCCCAGAGAAGAGATAACCTTCATGGTGAATAGATGAGAGCTTGGTTATAGCTGGATCCTGGAGGTCCCTGCTCCTAACACAGTTGGTCTCTGGATGAACAAATGGAAAGAAATACATTTTGTTAAGTGTTGCACTAACAAAAACTATTCTTTGATTTTTCAATATTATGACATTGTTTGATATATAATTACATATACAACTGCAATTCAGTGAAAATACACAGGTAATTTGGCTACAGTTTACAGTCTGATTTTTTATATGATTAAAACCTAAACACAGTGACACACAAACCCATAACCACACACACGTTCCTGTATTTTGCAGAAGATCTTGTCTTGGTCACATAGCACATCATGATCTGCATTCACAATTGGTTTAATTTCACCTTGGTCTGTTTGTGTACCACCTGTTTGTGTGTCTTTGTGTGTGTGAACAGGTGGGTCAGAGTGGGCCTTGCCATCGGGCCAGAACCAGCTGTACCCTTCCATGATATGATGTGTGTATGATAGCGAGTGCACATCCCTTATCGTAACATTACATCTATTGTGTATGTGTACTCACGGAACTAAATTTCACTATTGTCGCTCTTTGCAGGTATGTATGTGGATTTGCCCTCTGGTCAATATGTGTTTGAGTGTTGGTTCGTGTGTACATGTGTGCAACAAGTCTGTCTAACCTGCAGCTGTTGGGCTGTCTGAGCTTTTACTTGGACTCTGATGCCCTGCCCTTAGGGGTGTATGTGGATGTGCATGTTTGTGTGTTTAGAGCACGAGGGCACAAGGTCTTTTTTCGCCCTGGAGGTAGCCCACAGGGTGGCCACATCACACACATACACACAAAGATTGTGTCATTAATGGCCTTTGTTTGTGTTCTGAGCTTTTTTGTTTGATTTGATTTTTAAAATGAAAAACTGAGTAAATTCATCCCAAGAAATCTAAAGTCTAGAGGCTTTGAAAACACACTAACATTCACTATATTTACAACTAACTATTTAAGACTGATGGGAGCGGTGACACCATCTTTACTTTGTACTTTTGCTTCACTGGGCACATGAAGCCAAAGGAGAGCGAAATGGCAATTGAGAAAAAAAATGTTTAAAGAAAAACTTCTAAAAAGGAACAGTAATAAAGTAATAATGGGAGATCAAATTAAATACGATTACATTTTCAGGTATTTAATTTGATAGGTGAAAAAGAAACTTGCTTGGTCAAATTAAGGCAGATGCATAATACAGCTATTTGTTTAATTAGTAACGAAAAGAGTCAATAGTAAGAAACTACATTAAGGAGGGAAAAGGCTAGAGCAAATACAGAAGAATAAATTATTTTATCAGGTCATAATTTGACTTCAATTATTTGAATTTTAATTGTATTGGAAACACCTTTTTACAAATTTGACCCCAAATGGATTTATCTTGACTATTAAAGTAGCATGTATGCAATGCCTTTTAAAAAGATTGATCTTCAATTTCTCAGTAAGACCTGAAAAGCAGATCATATACAGTGGTCTGCAAAAGTTTGGGCAACCTTGTTAATTTCCATGATTTTCCTTCATAAATCGTTGGTTCTTAGGATAAAAAAAATCAGTTAAATATATGATATAGGAGACAAACACAGTGATATTTGAGAAGTGAAACGAAGTTTATACCATTTACAGGAAGTGTGCAATAATTGTTTAAACAAAATTAGGCATGTGCATAAATTTGGGCACCACAAAAAAAAAAAAAAACTCAATATTTAGTAGATCCCCCTTTTGCTACTAAACGCTTCCTATAGCTTCCTATGAGAGTCTGGATTCTGGTTGGAAGTATTTTGGACCATTCCTCTTTACAAAACACCTCTAATTCATTCAGGTTCGATGGTTTCAGAGCATGGACAGCTCTCTTTAAGTCAACCACAGATTTTCAATAATATTCAGGTCTGGGGACTGAGATGGCCATTCCAGAACGTTGTACTTGTTCCTCTGCATGAATGCCTTAGTAGATTTCGAGCAGTGTTTAGGGTCATTGTCCTGTTGAAAGATCCAGCCCTGGCGCAGCTTCAGCCTTGTCACTGATTCCTGGACATTGGTCTCCAGAATCTGCTGATATTTGGTGGAATCCATGCGTCCCTCAACTTTAACAAGATTCCCAGTCCCTGCACTGGCCACACAGGCCCACAGCAGGATGGAACCACCACCAAATTTTACTGTAGGCAGCAGATGTTTTTCTAGAAATGCTGTGTTGTTTTTCCTCCATGCATGGCGCCCCTTGTTATGTCCAAATAACTCAATTTTAGTTTCATCAGTCCACAGCACCTTATTCCAACTTGTCCAAATGTGCTTTAGCATACCTCAAAGGGCTTTGTTTGTGATGTGGGCGGAGAAAAGGCTTCTCCAGCATCAGCATCTCCTTGTGTAAAGTGCGCCCAATAGTTGTACGATGCACAATGACTCCATCTGCAGCAAGATCATGTTGTATGTCTTTGGTGCTGGCCTGTTGGTTGACTTTGACTGTTCTAACCATTCTTCGCTTCTGTTTATCCGTGATTTTCCTTGGTCTGCCACTTCGAGCCTTAACTTGAACTGTGCCTGTGGTCTTCCATTTCCTGACTATGTTCCTAACTGTCGAAACAGACAACTGATATCTCTTAGACAGCTTTCGGTATCCTTCCCCTAATTCATGATGGTGAACAATCTTTGTTTTCAGGTCATGTGACAGTTCTTTTGAGACTCCCATGTCGCTACTCTTCAGAGAAGGTTCACAGAGGAGGGAAACTTACAATTGCCCCCCCTTAAATACTCTCTCATAATTGGGTTCGCCTTGTGTATGTAGGTCAAGGGTCACTGAGCTTCCCAAACCAATTTTGAGTTCCAATAATTGGTTCTAAAGATTTTGAAATCAGTAAAATGACAACAGTGCCCAAATTTATGCACATGCCTAATTTTGTTAAAACAATTATTGCACACTTCCTGTAAATGGTATAAACTTCGTTTCACTTCTCAAATATCACTGTGTTTGTCTCCTATATCATATATTTAACTGATTTTTTTTATCCAAAGAACCAATGATTTATGAAGGAAAATCATTGAAATTAACAAGGTTGCCCAAACTTTTGCAGACCACTGTATTTCCAGTTCTGAACAACTAAAGGTCAACATACATTAGATATGAAATGAACCTTCAAGGCATATATGGTCATCCAGAACAAGGTTTAGTTTTAGTCCCCAGAATTAAAATAATAGATGAAGAATCTGCTTTGTGTATTCTATAAAGCTCTGTAAATAGTGTTGTTGAGTTTGCTGTATTAAAAATGAGCCTTTTTTATTGATGTGGAGGAAATGGTAGTTGAACTCACATTTGCAGTGTCTTATGGAGAATTCTGTGCATGCTGTCATGTGGTATATGTCTATGTTGTTCCTGTTGATATTTCCCTATATTCACTGATAAAAAATACGAATATGTTCCTGACATCATTCTTAATGTACTAGAAAATGTTTCCTCCAGATTCCAAGTGTCTGACAATATCTCCCTAACTAAAAGATCAGAGTGACTGAATTTGTCTATGCAAAATGTGTATGGTAAAGTTTCACTATGAAATAATGATTAAAAAATTAATTAACCTTTGCAGCTGAGTAAGGTTTCTCTTTAAAAAAGTTAATAAACAACAGAATTAGCAGGGTTGTAGACATGGTAAGAATCATCCCTCTCATTTGCATTAAGAAATAGAAAACATGCACACACACGCTAATTCAGCTGTGAAATGAATTGAACAATCACTGTGGAAAGGGAAAGTTCTTAGCTGATTAAACCTAATGAAATCTGGCGGATAGTAATTTCGCAGATATTGTTCTATGAACCTTAACCTTCTGACTAAAATACTGAGAAGTCTGCAAATCCCCCTTTTCATTAACACATGGGGGAGGGGGATACAAAAGTGGAAGAAAATGTGGGAGAAAGGAGATAGATATAAAGATGTGAAGAAAAGCAGAAAATAAGAAAGATGCATGCAAATGTTCAGAGGATGAGAACCAATGAATAAATAGATTGAGGACAAGAAAACAAGATGGTGGATGGAGGCAGATAATTATGGAGAAAATGAGGCATGAGAAACAGAATAATAAATACAACATAAGAAAAGGTATTATAGATTAAAATGTGTTTAGTTGGGGCTTCACAGTGGTGTGGTAAGTGGCATCATTGCACCAAAGCAATCATTTTCCGAGTTAAAATCATGGCTTTTCTTAGCGGAGTTTGCATATTCTACCTGTTTATTTGTCTTCGTGTTGTCTGGCATGCATGTTAAAAGGCATGAATGTCAATGTAAGTAGTGATTAAAAAATGTCTTGGTAAGAGTGGAGTGTACATGGTTTTCTGTTTTGTTTTTTAGCTCTGAGATGGTTTAGGAAGGTTACTGTCCGCAGTGTACCTTGCAAATTGCTTAATCCCAGACCAAGCAACCCTATGAGGAATATGCAGCATAGCAAATGGCACGAGTTTCAATTGGCTCTGAGAAGAAAGGGGATATTAAGATGGTGTGAAATATACCAAAACGGATAAGAGAATACCGACATCATATGTGAATTAGAGAAAGTGAGAAATAGAATCGAATGATAGATTATTTTATTTTAGAACCTCTTAGGTCTGTACAGCTTCAGAAAAGGCGATGGGAGAAACCCATAGCAGCCTCATTACATTCAAACCCACTAAGGGGCTCGCCTTGAGCTAATACATGGTTGTTGAGAGGTGAAGTTCAGTTATCAATGCCCTGCATAATGTCCTGAGATACCACATCAGGCAAATACATGGAAGACTAACCTGTTTCACCATTGCAGTCTTTACTTCCTGCTGTGAGGTGCTCCACCCTTTCTTCTCTTTCTGCTTCACCAGTTGAGTTTCTACATCTCTGTGTCTCTCACAAGCCTTCATATCTGCCTTTTTCATCAATGAGCTGTTAATTTGGGGATTAATACGCATGGCGGTTGTGGCTGGCCCTTTTGAGGGATTTGTAGTAGAGCTGCAGACACTTATCTTGGTCATTACAGTGCCCATATTGGATTCAAGGATTTTGGTATCTGCCAAATATTCGCTTGTGAAGGAGTCTATCAGAGTGACATGCGCCCGGGGATTAAGATATGATGGCCCCTCATTATGACTCTCCTCCTCTTGCAACATATTTGCCCGAACAGCTGCAGCTTCTCCTCCTGCGACATGAGAGCAGAGGTACATGTCCTCACCTTGCTTCTCTTCCTCCATACCAGATGACACAAGAGGAGGAGACAAATGCTTGTCTATTGGGTCCGAGCTGGGCTCCTGGATGGTTGTGGAGTCACTTAAGAGTGGAGAGGTGGAGGGTGAGCTGTAACATGGCTTGAGGAAAGGAGACAAGGACCTTGGTGATTCATCAGTGTCAACTGATCCTTGGAAATGCAGGTAATCCTGGCTTTGATCCACCACAACCTGCTTTGAGAGAGACAAGTCACTCTGGCTGTCACCTGGCATAGAATTGGTCCTTACTTGAGACAACCACTGAAGATAATCATTTGAGCAAGGAAAGTGACGTACCTTTTTATTCACATCATGGCCACCTCCAAAGGATGAGACTACACTTGGCTTCATCATGACACGCTGTGGTTTCTTAGTCAGAACCATGCTGTAGCAAAGAGGGGGACCTAAATAAACTTCTTCTGTGCAAACTGAAAACAGAATCTCCTCATCCCTGATATCAGGGCTGCTGGGCAGAGTCATATGTGGGCTGGTAACCTCTTCAAGCCTACCATCAGCAGCACAGGTAGTATGGATGCATGTGGACTTTAAGTCAAGATTGCACATGTTCTTAAGATTAAGCCTAGGAGAATTGCATTTGTAATAGTCAGCTGAATCAGAGATTGACGTTTCCTGTTTGCATCTGGGGCCTGTGCTATGGAGCTCTTGGACTGGTGTGACATAAGAGGGAATGATGTTGGGATTTGAGGTGGGGCTCTTGTCCTCAGAGCATTGACTGACTTCTCCACAGTCACTGTCATGGGAGGACAGGGACAGGTAAGAGTAAAAGTCTCCTTTGCGCAAGTGAACAGGTCTGTGGGAATGTTCAAGTACCTGAAGGAAGAAAAAGTATTTTTTATTGCCGGCATTTGTTTTTTTATTCTGAATTTAGGGACTAAATAATTTATTGATTATACAGATTTTCCATGTTCATTAAATTTGTGATTTTAACTTGGTCTAAAATAGGTTTGTGCTTAAGTCTAATTTTGGATAGTGAAACAAAATTAAACAATTTGAATCAGATTGGAAATCACTATTAATACAAAGATGAAAAAAATAGGTTCTGGTTTGCTAATAGCCTCACATGTTTTGAATGTGATTTTTTATGCTACATTGTAATTTAAGATCACCAAGTATTACCACAAATCTAAATCTTGATTTTCATATTTATAATTTACACACAGACATTTTGTAGCAAAAGTTGTGTGCCTAATTTCGTTTAGCATTTTCAGTGATTATAGTTCAGATGATCTAATTTCCCCCTGAAGAAATTAGTCATTAAATCCTAAAAGTTACGATCTGTGATGCAATTTATTCAATTACTTCAACCCAGTGAACATACTGAGGGAGATCATTGTGTCCCATTTGAATAGATATGTTCATAATATACATGGGATTTTAAAGTAAAAAATCTAACTGTTTCTTAGACACATTTGCAGCTCTATCAAATTATCTCTTGTGATATTTCTTTTCTAATTTTTAACAGATCCAATAAAATAATCTGCATGTACAATACTTTTTAAGCCATAACCTTTGAGCACATTAATACTCTACCTTGTCTCTTATCTGTCCTAGTGATGTAGGAACTTGGTTGGGTACAGACGTACTGGTCTCACTCTGATTTGGTTCTTCAGCTTGGTTGTCTTTGCTTTTCATTGCCATTTGGGCCATGTCAATAATCTCCATTGCAAAGTCATGCACATCCTCTTTCTTGCTAGCAGCTACATTACTAGAAAAGAGGGAGGAGGGTGGATGTCTGCAGCACAAGGAGTGAGATTTGTTCCATCTTTTGGGAGGAGCCAAATCATTTGCTCTGATTTCTTTCCTAGTCTCCTCTGTAGCAAATGATGAGAATTTGAACTTTTCTTGAATTGTGATAGCTTTCCTTCCTCCAACTACTGGTTTGTTGTTATGCAATCCATTGCATGATCTACAGTCCTTAACTGGGGAGAGGGAAGGGGGCGAAGGGATGGTGGTGCTGTGACATGGTAACTCTCCCCTCAGCTGTCCCACCAAAGAGGAAGCACATTTAAATGGGAAAGGAAGGTCCTCAGAAGATGGTGATGAACAAAGATGATGTGTAGGATTTGAATGTGTTTTTACTTTCAAATTCTTTACATCTTGAATCTCGAACTCCCTTGGAGACTCTTCTTTCATAACAAACACGGTTGACTCTTCTTGAAGGAACTCATCATCTTCATCCTTCCTTTTGAAATAGCTCTGGTCTATATTTCCATTTTCCACATCATCTACAAACTGGCTTATGTAGCTTCTTGTTGTATTTCTTCTGTCCTCTTCCTTTTCTCTTTTCCTTTGGTTTTTGTCATTTTTTTGCCCTTTTTTGTTGATTTCTATGAACTTAGGACCCGAGGAATTTAGGAATCTGAATGGCTTTTTATGCAGGAAGGGTGGTGTGAAGGAGGGCAGACTGCTCCCACATTTGAACTCATCCCCGAGATCTCTCTCTGTTTTAGAGATTGAGGAAGAGGAACTGTTAGGATATCTGATCCAACTCTGTAGCCCCGTTTTCATACACTCAACCCCAAACTCATAAGAACCTTCCATTTCCTCAGCGTCATCATCCTCAACACCAGTAGATGCACCACTCAAACTCTCCTCTTCCTTTTCTTTGTCCTGAAGACCAAGTTCCTCTTCTGTAAGTGTCAGTGTGGAGGAGGAAAGGAGGTCACTGTTGTCCTCATCTTCATCTGTGCATGCTGATGTACAAGAGACATTGACCACCATACTCAAACTTGCTGCATCTGCTTCCTCTATACCTTGCCCTCTTTGGCTGTTATTGTGAAAATGTTTTCCATAAGAGATTGAGTCGCAATTAGCTGGTATGGGTGAATCTAAGACAAGTTGATGGTGGTTTCTAAGCACGGTGAAATCTTCAGACCCTAGAGATGAGTCCTCTGTGCTACTCATTTCGGTTAATGATGATGTAACTGAACTTTCATTGATTACTGATGGTAGCTCTTTCCGTGAAAAGCATGCAGTTCCAGAGAGTGGGCTCTCTCGTCCACCAAGAGATGGGGACACTGGGAGTTGAGTCTTCTGTGTGGAGATGTTTAGAAGTGTCATATCAGAAACACTGCGGGTCATCTTTGTTTCGAGAGGACTCTGGATGTTCTCCAGACGTTTCAGTAGATCAAGAGTTCTTCGGCTCAGTTCTCCAGTGGATGGCTCTTCTTGTTCAATGTCAGTGTTTTTTTCTTTCATTTGTTCACTGCCATTATTTCCTTGTTTTTGTTTCAGATTCAGTTCAGTGAGACTGACAATGCTGTCTCCCATCTCTTCATCATTTTGGTGGCATGGAATCAAGACGTTTTCCAAAGAACCTGCAGGTTGCAGCATATCTTTGGAGGAAAACAGGTCCACACTGATATCCAGAAGGGACTCTAGAGATGAAGTATCAGATGTAATCAAACTTGATGCCTGATGTTGGAGAGCAAAAGGGATCTCCAAACAATTATTTTGGTTGGAGTGTAAGTCTCTGATATCACCGTGGCGCATGAAGGATGTGGAAGACCTAGTCGCGGTTCCTTCCACATCAAAGTCGGAGTCAGAATCAGCTGGAGTAAGGATTCCATGTCCATTTATAAAGATTTCAACGGCCTCACCTCCGCCTTTCCTGTACTTCTTCCTCTTTTCTTCTTCTCCCTTTCTTCTTGTTTCACTTCTTAACTCGTTTCTCTTCCATCCTTTCTCCTTCTTATTCAGTTCTGTCTTGCTTCTTTGATTATACTTGGTCACAGGATTCTTTTGCAGATACCCAACTAATAATTCAAACTTTTTCTGTTTGCCATCATTCTCCTCTTCTTCACTCTGATCATCTTTTTCATGTTGGATTCCATTTGTTATAATTATTTCTGTATCTCCTGTGTCACTCACTATCCCACTCTCACAATCTGAACGTCGGCTGTTTTCAGATTTTCCACTGCCTCTGCCACCCTCACTGTCATATTGGTTGCTGATAATCCTCTCTTCTGTTTGGCCCTTTGACATCAACCCTCCTAAGAGATCAGGGAGGGATTCAATGGAAGAGAATGAGGAATCCTTACTGAAGCTCTTAAGAAGTTGCTGTTTTGTTTTTCCTGCTTTCCTTATAGGCATTAATGGGGAAGAAAGAGGGAGCTGTGGCTGCTTGTACAATTCAACATTATGGATGCTGTAAACTGGATAAATGTTATTATTGTTTTGGGGAATGGTTTGGGAATTTACGATGTGCTGAACCTCTGAAGAAGATTCCTTCCTCACACTAGTCGGACCTTGATTTCTCATAAACAGATCGCTCTCTGCAGCTGGCTTTAGTTTTGTAGCAAAGTTGTGCATAAGATCAGCTTCTACAACTTCTTGTTTCTCTGCTTCTGTGATTGTCATATCTGTTTCATCCCATTCCCAGGACTCCTCTGGTGTCTGCGCAACTGGATCATTTGGGCTATTCTTGCAGTGATCCTCTAAACCCAGATCCGAAGAATTTCCAAAAACCTGTTGATGAAAGAGAAGATAAAAGGAACATGTCTGAATAGTTCATTTTTTATTTTCAAGAGGAATGCAACTATCTGCTACAGAGCAAACCCTGAACTCACAAAATATAATATCTAAATCATGAAAAATATATTTTTTCTTTTGAGGTATCGTCTTTTCGAAAGTGCTGCACAGAAAATACTAAATTCTAATGTAGGTGAGGTGAGTCATGATTTAAAAAGTGTGAAATAAATAAATAAAACAGAGGACTCCTCATGACATCACATGTAGTTGAAAATAATAAAAATATTGAAAAATAATAATGATTTACTTCACAATAATAAAGTTACAATATGATGTTGAATTATGTTCTCTTTCAATCCAAAAGATCTGTTCCATGTCAATTTCTTTGTAATCATCATAAATACTATCGATACAATCAAATGCTGCAAGGGTGTTAAATGATGCTTTATCAACTGCTGGATCTAGCTCAAAACAAAACCAGAGATCATCCTCAGAATTTTCTTTTGACTTTGATCTTTGTTTGAAAAGATATAAACCCAGCCAAGATTTTTATAGAACATGTTCTGTGATTGTTTCTTCTGAAATAAGTAAATGTGTAATAAAAAAGCTTGACTGTCCAAAAACATGCTTAGAAATAGAAAGTCTCCCCTGCCACAGACATAATTATACAAATTGCTCCATGTCTTGTTAACAAGAAAGGGGGATAATTTGTATAAGCCATTCATTGCCTATTAATCTAATAAACTAGCGGGCTCATTTTTGTGCATGTGTGTGTGTTTGAGTTACGGTGCGTATGTGTGGTTATGACTTTACGTGATGAATTTCTATTAGATTTGTGTTTATTCCTCATATGCTGATGAGGGAGATGTTGGTAATGACCACACAGAGTTTTGCACTGCAGATGCCTTTGAAAAATAACATTCAGCACTGAGAGGAGAAGCTATCAATCAGCGTAATGTAATCAAATTGAATATTTGATGACCAACAAAAAATTGTGCATAATCTATATCTTATTACATTTCTTTATCTTTGCAACAGTTTATAAAGTTTAAAAAAAATAATGGATGAACTCTTGTGAAAGAAGAGATCTTAAAAGAATTGCATTTGCAGAGAATCCACCAACGACAAATTTGGCAGCATTGCTGAATAGATTTCCATCTTACAATTAGCCAAGTTACTTTAGCACTGAAATAATTTTTAATACTCTAAGAGATATTGAAAGGCACAATCACATTGTAGTAAGTAATGTTGCCACATTGATTCCTTCTGCTGAGGATCTGTATGGAGGTGCAGATTGCATCTTCCAGCAGGACCTGGCCCCTGCCCATACTGCCAGAAGCACCAAAACCTGGTTTGATCCCCGTGCCATCATAACTTGCCGGACCCCTATTGAAAATCAGTTTTTACGAGCTGGTAGCCAGAATTATGTAGCAATAAACAAATAAATACTTCAAATCATGAAAGTAGAACTTTTTTAATCGAATTGTGAAAATTAAACACCATGGCATTCAAATTTTTTGGAAAGTGTCACAAAACATAAATATTGAGATAAGAGTGATAATTGTTAAAACTCTACTTAGACTACTGAGATATATTTTATATGTCTATAAAGTTTATGTTAGTTATATCGTTGATATTTTTATATAATAGTCCTTTTCATGCTTTTAGGCTATTAGTTGTTATTCATTTTATAGATTTAATTGAATGGAAGTGGATGGCTGATTGGCCTCTCCTTTTTAAATGTTTCATAATACTATAATTCACTTTTGAACTTGTTACGTAAAATGCATTATTTAAATCTTAGACCAGCTTAAAAACTGAGTTAAAAATGTTGATATACACAGTATATGTGTAAACAAGGAAATCATGGGATTTACACACATGTCCACACAGAAACCTGAAGAGAACAATATTTTTCATCGAGCAGAAGTGTACATTTCTTAACCAAACCTGCAACATCCCTGATTCCATTCTTTTTTTTCTCTTTATTCATCTGCCATCTCCAGTAGAAGAGAAATTACTCTCCAGCCACGTACCGAGGTCAGAGTGTCTGGCCTCTGTGATTTGTCTTCCAGTCTACAATGTGTGACTGCACATTGTGTATGAATACACAAGTAAAAATAAACTCACATTGCAAAGATGCTAAGGAATTAGGCAGATTCCATCTAACATTAATAAATAAACAGGGTCATCTCATTGTAAAGACTGTTAGTGCCAAAGTGATGTGATTATTTTTGTTAGAATAAAAGCATAACAGTGCTTTTTTGTCTGGCCATAAAACTTGATGCAGAATGTTGTGCCCAAAGTTGCCACCAAAAGTCAGTTGATTTGTTGCCTGTTGCTTTTCTTTTGAAAAGTTACTTGGCGGGCCCGAAAATTCACTAAATATAGCAACAAAGTTGGTAAATTGGCAACTTTGCCTTGCATTAGCGGAAACAAATACGAGGCTATTTCAGAATTACACTTCTGTAATACTTTCAGACTTTCAGAATTACAGTATGCAAAGCATGCTTTCGTGTTGGGAAATGTGGCTCATTTGGAACTGGACTTGTGCCATATCTCATAAAGAAGAGATTTTTCTTTCAGCTCTGGAACGGCTCTTAATTTATTGCCAATTGTAACCTCACATTTTAGCCAAACTTGGCAAATATGAAAGCTTTGTTTGTTGATAACCCCTTTTGTACTGTTTTGATGAAAAGCCTTTAACAGCCACATTTTGTTAATTTGTTTCTGATATGTTTGTGCATTTTTACCTGTTGTAACTGTTATTTTCATTTTATTTTTTGTTTACAGGTATCAGTCAATTTTACAAGTTATTGCAATCCACTTGGACTCTTCTCACTGCTTTCTACTGTTTCATTCACTGACTGAGGAGATGGACAGAAGCTCCACTTGACTGGTGCATTTGTCTCCCTCCCTGTTTTAAAGCGATGGCACGATCATATATCCCCATACATTTATCCACAAGGCTGCAATGCTGGCAACGAAGCGGAGCCACAAAGAGCTCCGTTGTGAAAGGGAAAAAAGTGGGGAGCTTATTCTAATTTGACTGAAGTTCATTCTTCTTTTTCTTTACAAAGCATCACCTCTTAGAGCTGATGCTATGGGGACAAAAAAGAAAAACCTGTGCATATGTTGTACTTGTATTGTGCAAACAGGGAAATATATGTGCCTGATACATATGGACAAAATTAAGTTTATGGACAGGTCAGTTTACATGTGCACGAGGGGGTTTGAGACTCATTTCACTCTTCCAGGAGCCATGTGGATTCATGTGTACATGGTGAATTTAAGTTCTGTTGCTAAGCTGCGTCATCTGATTTTTTTCTTCTATACATATGCTGAATTAGGAACAACAAAAAAGAATACATTAGCTCGAACTTCCTAGACATTTAAAAAAAAAAAAAAAATTATTTCATGCATTGCACTGTGAATAAAGTCCTTTTTAAAATTTCACATAACTACCCTCAACTTTTTGCTGTTGATTTTGTTTAATAGAGACAAAATGAAGGTGTGAAACTGGTGAAACAGTAAAAACAACCTGAAAGCATTGCTTGGTTCTAAAAGTTCTTTAAACATTATGATAATGTAGCTGCAATAACATTACTATCTGTTTTCATGTCACATTTAGCATAAAATCAAACACCAACTGTAACCATGTATCAGTTGGCTGTCTGCAGTACAGAAAGATAGATGTGTAAAGAAAGTGTAAATGTCAGGGGGCTCCAACCTGCTGCTCTACCAGCTCTTTCTTCAGTCTGCTTTGCCACTGCAACGCCTGCATCGCAATTGCCTCCCACCTCCTCTCCAGGTTGATTGACAACAGCTGCAGGGCCTCTCGATGCTGCTCTGCATCTGGGCCCACCTCAGTCCTGGGGCTCACCTGTCCAAGAGGTGGTGATTGAAGAGGTACTTTTAATAACAGTAAACCTTTTTTTCCCACAAATTTAAGACATTCATAACAGTGAATTAACGTCTCACAATATTAAGCTTATTCCTGTTGGTTCACTTTAACATTAAAAAAAAAAACGTAAAGAAAGGGCTAATACATAAAAAAAACTAACAATCTTCTCATTATTTTGTTTTTAAACGGTTTGTCTAACAAATGTTAATTTCACTTCTATTTACTTCTGTTAAATGCTTATTTTTTGCTTATTTGATATAATCATTTTGCCATCATTTTTTTCACCTGTCTTTGCTGCAGCAGTTTCTGGCATAATTTCAGAACAGAACAGACTCCTCGGCGCCGGACTTGTATCTCTGAACACAGGGACTGCAGTTTTACATGTAATTGAAAGAAGACAAGCCAGAGGCTGAGTCAGAATTATGATGAAAATGCTAGTACCAAAACATTGGTACATTTTCAGCGCATGAAACCTCCTCCCGATGTTGAGTGATAGTCGAAAAGGATTTGTCAAATTAATTCTGACATCTACAAAAATTGTAGTCACTGAAATCTTGTTTATCCCACAGGCAAGTAATTTGGGGAAACTTAAGTCGGTCTTCCACTCATGAAAATTCCTCCATTGCACAAATACCCCTGTATTTGGTTTAATTTTTGTATTAAAAAAAACCCATTGGGCAATGGGTTAATATTCAGACTTCTTTTAAACAGTTCAGTTCTATTCATACACAATATTCCATATTAAACAACATTTACTTCAACATCAAAAATATGCCCATATTGTTGTCCATGCATTTGTTTCAAAGTGATGCAGAAAAAACAGTGCATTTATTTTCACTTGAGATTAATTATCCTAATTGCTTTTTTTTTTTTTTTTACTGTCCTACAACTCTATGTAGAAGCATCCTGGAGAACAAATGTCAACAGAACAGATACTGTCCCATAGTTCTAGATTTAAACTATCGAAATGCAACAACCACTAATACAGAGCAAATAAATAAAAATAATCTCTACCCATCTTGGTAGAGCCCTGAGGTTAATTCAGCTATTCTTGAAATTCATTAGAAGGATTACGTTGGAATGTCCCATTAAAGAAAAACAGTTGCTGCTATTTTCTTTCCTGAGGAAATCAGGTGTTCTTTGATTTATTACTCAGACAAACCTTTTTTGTTCTTCTTTGTGAAATTTTCCATGTGAATGACTGATATGAAAAACAAAAAAAAACTACAAGCAATGTATTTACTTCTTAACTGCTTGTTCTCTGTGTTTAATGATAATAAACTAAAAGGAAAGGGTCTTTTCCTCTCTTTATCTTGTTTCCCTTCAACTATGTCTCTTTCCTTTACCCTGCTTCTTGTCACTCAAAAGCTTGATCTCTCACTCCCCGCACTTCAGAACCTCCCATATCTCTCATTCGTAAATCTCTGTCTTCGACAAATGAATCCTCTTAGCTCTCCTCCACCTCCTCATCTCGACAATCTAATTATCAAAACCCGTCATGAAGAGGGGCATGTAGAGAGAAAGGGGAGGTATGAAAGAAAAAAGAGGTGAATGAAAATTATTAGTGCAGTTTTCATGTCTCTATTTAACATGAGTGTGATACTCTTAAATGAGAAAATCGGATGAGAGGTGGAGGAAATCAGGTTTTTTCTTTAAATGTGCTAAGAGCACATCAAAAACCAGATGATTTCAAGATTATAAAAAAAACAAAAAAACAGATTTAAGTCTTGAAAGATTTCTTCTTAAAATTGTGAACGGCAGTGTCCACCTCACATATATAAACCAAAAGTAATCTATAAGAAACTTTCAGGTCATAGACTGACCTATTAGTTCCCCCCGCGACCCCATCAGGAAATAAGCGGTATTGATAATGGATGGATGGATGGATGGATGTTTCAATATTTTGCTTGATATCTGCAAAAATATGCACCGCTCTTTTTTACATAAACAGTGGAGTGGAGGAACAATTAAAGTTCAACTCATTGTGCCAGTGTATATATAAATTAGGGGAATCAAATTATGACTAAAACAACCTCTGTACAATGTTGTGGGAATGCCTGAAAAGTTTAAGCAACACTAAAGGCAGCAGCCACTCTGTAAAAGATTATCCTCAATGTATGAATAGCTTAATTTCCTGTACTGACTTTGATCTAAAGAATTTTAGAACTTACTGAAAATGCTTTAAGTGAAGGAGGGTTGGTGAACTTATTTTTTCAGTAGCCATTTCATGCGTGTTCAATACAAAAAAGTAAGAAGCTTTCCAGGAAAGTCAGCGCTATTGATAAAAACTTCCCACAAGAATTATTATTATATATTGCCCTGTGTAGGTCTCAGTGATAAACAAAAGGATGAAAGCGGAACTCTTTATTAGTTTTGCAACTAAGAAATCATGGTTGAAGATTTATGAGAATGAAAGAAATAAGTGAGCAGTTAGAAGTAAAGAAATTAACGACAAAAATTCTCATTAAATTGAAAAAAAAAACAATGGCTAACAAGAATGACAAAAAGTGAGATATAAGGAAGAGAGAATAAGAATTTCACAGTGTTCTTGGCAAACATGGAAATTTCAATCAATTACCATTAATTAGAAATCTCTGATTAATTCTATTTGTTGATTTAGTCAATTGAAACCACAAGCACTCATTATCGCACAATGAGCCTAATGAATTCCTGTTGAGACTTTGTTCCAACACGTTCCCTTAGCTGATGCCAGAGTAATCTTAAACTTCCCATAATTTGCCCTTTCCGAATTTCTTTATCCTTCCATCTCTCCATCTCCTGAATTGAAGTCACTGAATTACTTTTAACCACATTCCTCTGCAAAGGCTAATTCAAGGGCACCCTGGCAAGTCAAATTTATATTAAAAATTTGATTAAAGATGCCTTCTCAAACTGTTTGGAGGCAACAAAAAAAAAGAACTCTATGCTCAATACTAGGGTTGTGTATACTACAGAAGTAATTCAATTAGAAAGATGAATTATTGAGGACCAAGAATTATTGTGCAATATTTTGAAACCACAGAGCCGAGTAACATGAATTCACTCTACATTTATCCGATCAGGTTAATCACATCATGACAAAAGTAACAAACTAATGCAGGGTATAATTCACTGTAGATAAATGTAGATAAAATTAGATAAATAATGGATGGATGGAAATTGTTGGCCTCAGGTGTTAGTATGAGGCAAATATGTCATTCTACACATGGATAATGCATACTGATACAAACACAATTATGCAATTCTTACAGAAGTTTAGCTAAGTTCCTTTTATTCACTGTTTGCGCCAACCAGAAGCACTCTTTCGAAAATAAAATTCATTTAATATCTGATTAAAGACACTTTTATATTTAGAGAAAAATCACATGTGCATTCAGGTTTGACTTCAGGAAAGACAAGTGAACAGCAGAGGTGTGAATAAAACAATGCAGACACAAAACAGTGTTGCCATACTGTAGTCATTTGACACATTGGTATTTAACAGTTCTGCATTCTCCTTGGCAAATGCAAATTAAGCTATGAAAAATATGTCAAATAAATATCTATAAACCACACATATGTGCCTTTTATATATTTTCTACATAATAAGGAGAACTACAATAGGTGTTTGTTGCTAAGAGGCATTTCAATCAGATGAATAACATAACCTTTTAAAGCCTGATCCCAGATAAAATACATAAATATATATATATTATTTTTGTCTGAGGTCTTCATTTGTCCCTTTCACAAAATATGAACAAAATCCCCAAATTTAGTTTTTTCAAGACACCATTTCGCTAGATCATTCGAGCCCCATTTTTTCCAACACCACAAGCAACGAGTTTGGATGGTCAGTTGCTGGCTATTGCTAATAGGTTAATCTTTTAGACATGCCCCCTGTTGCCACTTTCTGCACTCAACATGAATAGGCATTTTCAAACAATTAATTGTAAATAACACCAGCACCTAACTTAGTTTATTAGATCACCCTCTATATTTCACGGTCACAGTGATGAAAGATGACATTGGGGTTTAACACATGAAGTGGTCGAACTCATCTTATGATCTCAGCAAATCAAACCACAATGTCTTATGATTTAATTATCTGACATGATCTGAGGAAAGGATAGATTTAGTGAGAAAATTAGATGAATCAACTTGATCATGCAAAAAACAAGATGTGCTATATTAAGATAGCAGAATGATATAAAAATCTTGGGTGACTGAATCGGAATTAATATATATATATAATTTTTTTTCTGTCTCATTGCAATGACGTGTATCCTTTTTTATCCTCAATGTGATAAACTCTACAGGACTATTAATTTGAATCTGGTAGAGTCATTTTGACTTATGTTCAAGTCCTTCACCAATGCCATATTTCTTTGTTCACTCTTCTTATCTTTCTTTAATCCTGACTGACCCTTCAAGCTTTTGCCCTTTTTGTACCCAATTCTCTCTGGTTCTCATTTTCAGTGTCTTATTTCTTCAGTTCAAGAAAAAACTGTGATTTTCCTCCACGCAGGTGAAGATGCAGGTATAATTTGTTTGTTGATGCTATAACCGTGGTAATGTCTCATCTATTTACTCGCCTTCAACCTCTAAAAAGCAGCTTTTGACGAGAAAACATATCTTCAAAACACTAGAAAGTGCTTCAGCCAAAGTCATACACATGAAATCAAGGAAAATAAAAAACAGAATTATGGCTAAAAACACTTGCAGATAGGAATAATCAAAGGATACTGTCACATGCAAAGCATCCTGTGTTCTTTGCAGGGAGTCGTGGATCTTTAACCCTCATCATGCACAAGGTACCATTATCAGAGTGTTGTTGTCACCTTCTGTTAGTTGAATGAGCAATTTTTCATTGCGTGTTTGTGTTTGTTTAGGTAGGTGTTGTGGGTTGTATGCATAATCATGTGTGAGATGTGTCTGATATGTGCATTTTTGTGGAGAGGGGGAGTCTTTTCTTACAATTACGACCTATTAGACTGTTCATG